TAATAATAAACAAAAAAGTCATAGCATTGTAAGCAGATATTGGGTCTGGTGGGCTCCAGATCGGATTTCCTGGTTGTTCAGTCCTACAGAAAAGAATTGGATCAGGAACTCATGGAAAGTGTCAGAAGCAGACAATTTATTAGGAAAGAACACAATGTCTCCATGTGTTGCTTAAAGATGCTTCTTTGATGAGTGATGAGAGCCACACTTATCTGTGAGTCTAATATAAGTATTTATAGTATAATTAGAAATTATATTGGTTTAACAAAGTGGCAATAGTAGGTTCTCCTTTGGGGTCTATACTCTCTTTTACCACTTTTATTTGTCAAGTTAACAATATCAGGCATGAATTCCATAATTGGTCATAATGCAAAAAATAAGTGACCATAGGTCTCTTACCCAGATTGGTACAACTATAATGCAACTCCTAAGACTCAAAGAACATTGCAGAAGATTGGGCAAAAAGACTATAAACCAGAGATTCAGGATACCTACTTCAGGATAGTTTCTTCCAGGCAAGGCACAAGAACAACATCCATGAATTCTCAGTGATATGATTGCCTAAACAAGCTGTACATGATGGAAAACAATACCAACACTGATAGTGAACAGTTCACAAAGCCCTACTTCTTGAAGAAGAGCTACAGGCACTCAGTGACTCCTGAGAGAGGGAAAATCAATAATTTCCAGGGAGCTCTTCAGGTCCTGCCTAAGAGGAACATAGTACCTGCCTAAAGGAACAAATTTCTCTCCTTAGTCTATCAGTTGGAGAAATTTATTTGGATCCTAGTAATAGGAATTGGTAGACAATCCACTGAACTACTCACTCAAGAAGGTGACAGCCTACCCAGACCTGTACACTGAGTGAGATTTCTGTGTTTAAATGTACATATTTTAAATGTAAATCACAACAGAGTAATCACTTCCCTTTATTTCATGTCCAACTTAATTAACAACGAAACAGACTAGTTATGAAGACAGAAATGATATATGTAAATCTTATGATATAAAACTATATCAATCCTCTTGTTGGATATTATTTCAACATAGTCAATATTCAGAAACATTTTAACAAGACCTTTGAAATTTTTCCTGCGTATTGGATAAGCAACAAGGAAATTATTATGTATATCTTTCTCTTGTTGTGTCTACTTAGATGATGACTTATCAGATATTTCTACATGTTCCTAGCACTTTAACTATTAAAAACATGAGACTAGAATGATTTTTCCTATGTTATACATAAGAAAATGACTGATCAAATATAGAATTGGTGGGGCGTGGTGGCGCACTCTTTAATCCCAGCACTCGGGCGGCAGAGGCAGGCAGATCTCTGTGAGTTCAAGGCCAGCCTGGTCTACATAGTGAGTTCCAGGACAGCTGGGGATACAGGGAGTCCCTGTCTCAAAAAAAATACCAAAATATATATATATATAGAATTGACTCCATGAATCAATACACAATTCTTCATCTTACAATCAACAAATACCTTCTACAAATCTCAGACACTGACGGTGAAGACATCTTACTGAATGTGCTTACAAATAGAAGAAACGGGGCCCCAGAATATGCAACTGCAATTACACACAAAGTTCATAGAAACAAAATTGTTTGTCTCGGTGATTATGAGTGTTGAATTTGTAATGTAATATAGGAATTCAGAATAACAGAGTGGAGGAATAGGTTCAACAAAGATTAGGAGTTAGAGGAAAAAAAAATAATAATACAGTGTAATTTTTGACTTATCGTCTTTCCATCGCAGTGCAGTTGTTCAGGTTGGTGTAATGCAAACGCAGCAGCAGACTGGTCAAGGAAAAGTTCCATCTATCAGATTTGGAGTTTCATCATGGAAATTCTTTCATCACCTTTATATGGGACAACAATCTTTTTACTGTAGACTGAAAAGGCAACACTGTTTTACAATAAAGTCATAATGCCCATATCCCAGTAGACTGGTAGCGGTGAATTTCACAACTTCCAATGTATCATTCAGTTGTCCAACTTGAATAAAATTATATTTTCTCTCATATTTTCTACAGTATTATTCACACAATATATAGCAAAATCACAGTACTTTTTTGATGAAGAGTATAAAATAAATGATAAAAATAAGACATATACCTCCTGAAAAAAATAAAATTAATGAATAAAGACTAGGTCGAGTAATAAATCAATTCAGTTGCATCATTTCAAACTGGTTCCTATGAATTTACAATTTAAAACTGAATTTTTAAACAATATTAATTATACTAATAACATAGAACTTGATCTTGTCTTAAAATGAAGCAGTCTTTGATTTCTGAAGGTATGCAAATGATAGGTGGATGACCCACTTAAACCCAATTTTTCTAACTGAATAGTAATGAAATTTGTCTTAAGTAGACACACTTCATTAATGCCTAAAAGGCATACCAACATTATAGGTATTTTGTTTTTGAAATAAAATCTTTTTCACATTAATAAAAAGTCAGAAGTAGTGGTTCATGCCTTGAATCCTAGCACTTGGGAGGCAGAAGCAGGTGGATCTCTGTGAGTTTAAGGCCATCTTGATCTATATAAGTGATTTCTAGGTCTGGAACTATAGGGAGACCCTGACTCAAAAGAAAAAAAAGAAAATATTCTTACCTCAATTAGAGACTTTTATAGAAGTAAAGTTCACTGAGTTAAAAATCAATCCTGCTGCTAAACTGACCACTGACTGAAAAACAAGTGATTACTTCAAACCATACATCAGAGTACTAGCCATATTGCATATCAAACCAGAGCAAGTGAGACATAATGCAGCTTAACTTTATTTTGCATACCTAACTATCCAAGAGACATGAAAAACAATGAAAAGCTGTATATTACTATAATTTTTAGAAAATAATAATATGAAAAATATTTAGCACAGTCATATTTTGCCTGTGTTTATAAGAAAATTAGTCTTCAAACCTGTTAAACTATTTTCATCATGGATGATACTTTGGAACGAAAGAAATTAACTATAATTCTACATAGCAAAAAAATCTAATAAAATTCCTGCTTAGTCTTCATTGATCATCCTACACACAGACACATTTCTTTTTGTTATATTTTTAATATTTTATTGATTCTTGGAGAGAAATGTCCAATGTATTTTGGTCATATTCCCTGCTTTCTCAGCACTTCACAGATCTACCTCTACCTCCCTCTAACCCTGAACCCAATCTGTGTGTTCCAAGTACTCTTAGATGTTGGACCTGCAGTGCGGCTTCATTGACCTACCATGGCTCACAGTCTTACAGAGAACTGATTTCTGCTTTCCAATCAACTCTTCAATGCTAATAGCTCCTCAACTCAGGGTGGGACTTTGTGTCCACTTCCCCAACTCCATGCTTGGATTTTTTGTCCAACTAGAACCTGAAGATGTCCTGTGAATGTTGAAACAATTACTGTGAGGTCAGAGGTGTAACTAATCTGTGTGGAAAACACTCTTCCTTTATAGCTGTCTGCTACCTTTGGACTTATAATTGTTTTGTCCCCACTTCCACAAAACCTTGAGGGGAGGGGTGTTATACAGATGACCCTATCATGTCTGAGAATTCCATGGTCTCTTATTCAATGAATTTTGATCAGTTGAGGCTCTCTAAATCAGTTGCCTTTTATTACAAAAAGAAGCTCCTTTGATTAGTGTTGAGAGATGCATTTATCTGTGGATTTAGCAATAAGTATTTGGGAGCAATTTTAATATGATATTCCGGTAGTAGACCATTAATAGCAGGTTCACTGTTACAGCCTGTGACCTATCTATACACAGGCTTTTAGCCCCAATAATTGTGCTTGGTATTATTTCTTGATTATGAATATCTTTGATCTATGGCCTTTGATATTTAGTCTATTACAGGAACCTATTAACTAAGAGACCCTTAAAACCGACCTCACATGCTTTTTATATAAGGAAAATGTAACCTAACATGAACTAACAACCTCTCCACTACATAGGAACAGCAGCCATGCACCAGACATTTGGCTTGAATAAATATTGACAATATAAAGCCCAGATAAATTAATATATTATAAAGAAACAAGAATCACCGAATAAAAAGTTAGAAATGCTACCCATATTTGTTTTAATGAAATAATATCAATAATATATAGTGGATAGAAGTAGAGTGAAAAGCTAATGTTTTCTTAGATGTTTATTTAAGGATAATTCTGTCATTATGTAAACTATAAATCTGGTTGAGCTTCAATATATTGCTTACACAATAAATATATTTTGATAAAATTAATATCCTGATATATTTGTTCAATGTAAATTTAAGATATTTGAAAAATTGTGTGATGCACACTTTTTACAACTGCAATAACTTCAATCGGGGTTGAATTCAATAACCAGTGCTCAAATTGTTGTACATACTAGACACTGGTATTTGAAAGTGATATATATATATATTCTTGCACAGGAGAGGATAAAAAGACAAAAGTACAGAGAATGTCATGTTAACATATTATTTCAAAAGATAAATACAACAGTTCTTTCACAGAAGTCTTCCAGCAGCCTATTATTGCTTTAATAAGTGGAATAACCTATGTGTTCTAAGATAATGCATGCAATCACAATTAACAAAAAAAAAATGTACTTACTGTCTTAATGTTACACATATGGAGGTAAAATGATAAAAGCACTGTTACATTTACTCTGTGGTTAAATACTCTTGCAACACAAGCCAGTCAGCCATGCAAGTCTAGAGACCTTAACTTGACACTAGAACCTGTGAAAATGAAGGATAGTACCAGCTATTTCTTGTACTCTCACCTCAGCATGTATGTCACAGCTCACATGCCCCACCACATAGTTTCTTAATGAAAGCAGAAAATATATACATGTTAAGAAAAAATACCTTGAAAGAAAATGTGCTTACCAGATGAATTTAAATTTCTGTCCCCATGATAAGACATTCACATGAAACTTGCACCCAGAAATGTACTAAAAACAAAGAACCTCTCTGAAAAAGACGCAGAGAAATTGTTTCTGATCAAAGAATTTTTCTGAGGGTTTTTCTCAGGGCAATTTTAATGTCTTTGTTTCTTAAGCTATAGATTAATGGATTCATCATGGGAACCACAGTGGTGTAAAAGATGGAAGAGATTTTTCCACCATCCCTAGAACCTGCTGAGGAAGGTTGAAGATACATAAATCCACTTGATCCAAAAAAGAGAGAAACAGCAACTAAGTGGGAACTGCAGGTGCTGAAAGCTTTGGACCTGCCCTCAGTGGACCTGGTTTGAAGGATCCTAGAGAGGATGAAACCATAAGAGGTAAAGATGATGACACTGGGCACAATGATATCTTTAGCTCCTGCAATTAACAGCTCTACCTCATTGACATAGGTGCTGGTGCAGGAGAGCTGGAACAGAGGGAGGAGATCACAGAAATAGTGGTTGATGATGTTTCCATCACAGAAGGTCAGTCCCAGCAAACATCCAGTGTGGAACATGGCACCTGTGAGTCCCATTAAATATGTACCAAGCATAAGATAGGAACACACTTTAGGGGACATAACAGTGTTGTACAGGAGCGGATTGCAAATAGCAACATAGCGATCATAGGCCATTGATGTAAGGACAAAACATTCAGATATGGCAAAAAGGGAAAAGAAGTAAACCTGGGTCATACATCCCATATAAGAGATAATATTCTTCCTTAATATAAAATTCATCAGCATTTTTGGTGTTAACACAGAAGAGTAACAGAGGTCTATGAATGACAAGTTAACGAGGAAAAAGTACATAGGAGTGTGAAGGTGTGAATTTAGGATAATTAGAATAATCAAAGCCAAATTTACCAATGAGGTTATCAAATACATCGCTAGAAAGAGAAAGAAGAGGGGTACTTGGAGCTCAGGCTGATCTGTCAATCCCAGGAGTACAAATTCTGTTACCAATGAGCCATTTTCCAGAGCCATTTCTCTGTAAGGTTAACTGTGGAGACAGAAAATTTGATGAAACTAGAGGAGCACATGGAACTTTTGACTGCTACTGTGGCCCACAATGGTGAAGAATGTGCCAGGAGTGTCTGAAAATGACCGACATTGAAATTACCCTTCATGCTTCCATGATAATGAAAGATGGTCTTTCCCCCATATGATAACCTTAACCTACATAGAACAAGGTGTTTCATCAACACTTTACAGATCTGAGTGTAGAGCTGTCTTATCCTACCATGATTGCTAGATAATGGAGAAAAGGGTGACAGGGCATGGAACCGAACACATTTTCTCAACTTTCTCTCATCCTCTCCTTGATACAGGATAAGCAATAGACCAGGTGCTGACTCCCAATGCAGACTGGGCTCTAAATAAGTAGGCATAATGAACACATTTTCCAACCCAGAATAAAAGAATCCAAATATAGGAATGGCTAGAATACTGCCAAAGTCTCAGGAAAATTCATAGTTCTAGAAGAATTTGAGATCTATCTATGGAGAAGCACGTTTCATTGCAATCTGAGCATCTGCTGAATCTATGAACATTTTCTACCTGCCTTTTTAAGATATTCACTTGAATCTTAGGATTGCAATAAAGGGGGAAAAAAGGCCGCATCATGGATCCTGTGATTCATCTTCCCATGAGGCTACTATAAATGTCTATAAAGCAACAGATTTCAGGAGAGACTCCTGAGTAATATCCCTTGCATATGAAGTTTTAAAAAGTTATATTCACATGACCAGAGGCTTATAGTGTTGTTTGCTAGAATCAGTGAGAGAGAAAAATCAGGTGATATTGTCCAATGTGAAGAAGGATGGATTGTGAAACATTAATAGAGTCTTCAATATAATAGTCAACATGTAAATAGCAGTTCACAGGACTATATTTATATTAGAGCTTGTTTATAGGATACACTTATATTGTCTGATATCATATGCATATAAATACAAACACACAGAAGCAGACTTATATGGAGGGAGAGAGAGGTCAATTTGCTTCATTGTTGTGTTATTTCAAAATGAATATCTTGATCAAAACAACAGGATCATTTGATATATATCTATATATATGGATGTAGATATGTAATTTAACACATTAGTAGTAAGTCCATAAATGTGATGAATAAAAATCAAGACATTAATATAAATAGAATTTAAAACTTACCCTCCTAAGGAATGAAAAGCTTTTCAATTCCTACGCATTGTCATTAACTCTTGTCTTGGAAAAACAATATGAGGCTCTGAGTCTTTGGATGCATTGACAAAGTTATTTTATCTTATTTCTTAGATATCTGTCAGAATTATTATTCATATATTATAAGGGTACTCTCGATTCAACATCAAACAGAAAATAATCCTCTTCTTTCTATCACTCTTGACTCTTGAGACACCAGAAGCTCCACCTGAGTTTAATTTTATAATGCACCTGGGATACACAAGGTAGAAAATTCTCAGTCCTTCCCATAGAAGCAGATTTCAGATAAAAAAGGAAAGTAGGTGAAGACATATACCTGTTAAACAATGATGCATTTTGTTTCCTTAGGGACTCAGTATTGTCATGAATGCCATTTTTTCTCTTGGGATTGTACGTACAGTCTGCTTAAGCCAGTACTTGACTCATGTATCCTAATCACCTTTATTTCTGCAGGGGAATTTATTACTGTTTCTCCCCACCTTTGAATGATAATGTTCCACATAGTTAAGCCATGAGTTTCCTCATAGTTTCTTAAAAACCTTTCAAGAAGTGTTATAACACAGCAATGTTTCTTCTGCTATTTCCCCTGAATTTTGTTTTTGTTGTTGTTGATTTTCTGTTCTGAGAATGATGACAAGGCCCCATGTGCATGATGCTATTGCTCCACACTACACTTATTTCCTGAGCCCCCCGACACTGCTGCATGTGTGTAGCACCTTTTCAAGGTTCTTAGCATTGCTTTAAAATGATGAGTGAGTATCAACCCCTCTTTGTTCTCAAATACAACACTTTGCCAATCAGGTCAAGACTATTTAATACTTACCGTGGAAAACAATGAGGGCTGAATGGTTGGAGGTTTGGTGAACTTTTAACCTATACTTCCTTACTATAATATTTTGCATGAATTGTTTTTGTGCTAAGATCCTTCCGTGTAAAACAGAGTTAAAGAATGTAGCACACTTTATTGGATTTTGTGGTGATTAAATGCATAAAAAGAAACAAAACTGATAAAACTATTCCCTGAATATCAGAAGTAGCAAGATGTTGTCTATAGGTAAAAATGCTCCTCAACGTGTGAAATGTCCATCATAAGTTAAAAATATCCTAAGAAGAGAGCATAGTTAAAATCAAGGTATAGTCTACATTATTGCAGCTCTGTGGACTACTCTACACAGAAAGGTATATTAGAAATGTACAAACTGCAGCTTCTCATTTTGACTATCCGTAAATACCAGAGCTAGCAGTTCTATTATTGTTAGTTTTTCAGTGAGATTAATTTGGACACATACTTGTAACATCTTCCCAGTTCTAGAACCATCAATATATGGTACACTGTCACTGCACCTGTTCTAGGTTTTAGCTGATGTTCGCAAACATGAATGCCTCTTTCTGTACTGGATGCTCAAAGTACCAGAACATTACTTGGGAGTTGCACTTATAAATTCATATTTTTTCAATATATTGAATAAAATTTATTAAAAATTTCACAAAGGCCACTGAGTGGCACATTCCCATAATGCTAGCAATCAAGGCTATAGTAACTGCATTTCAAAATTTCAGCTTGGCCATCAACTACCAGCCAATTCTGGGCTATACAGAGATACCAGATACTCAAAATAATAGAATTCAGAAGTAAATTTTAAATTATTTAAAGAACAAAGTAATGGTATTTTGTAAACTATATTAAAAAAATATCAAAGTTTTCCACAAAAATCCACATAGGAAATATTTGGGTGCATAGAACCTAGCCCTCTATCATGAAGTCAGTTTTGGTAAAAAACTGAATGTATGTGAATAAACTGCTAGTATATTTTTTAGGGATTGGTGGTATATATACCTCACGGAAAGAGACCTTTTCTAATATAGTCGGAGCTTGGAAATCAAAGTCCAAAACTGCAAATAATAAAGAAAAAAATTAAAGAAAGAGAGAGAGAGAGAGAAACGACAGAGTCCATTAAAAAAAAGGGAGGAAGGAAGGAAGGAAAGAGGGAAGTGAAAGAGAAAGAAAGAAAGAAAGAAAGAAAGAAAGAAAGAAAGAAAGAAAGAAAGAAGAAAGGAAGGGAGGGAAGGAGGGAGGGAGGGAGGGAGGAAGGAAGGAAGGAAGGAAGGAAGGAAGGAAGGAAGGAAGGAGAAAAGAGAGATCAGGAACATATTGGGCAATGTTTATTTTGTTAGCTTTGGTGAGTTGTGTCTCCCACCCAATATAGGAAACCTTATTTTCAAAGGTTCACTACAAGTATATCATTATCCTTAATATATAATATATATCATCTCTGACCCCACCCCTGCTTCCCTACAGGCCTCTCTCCCACCAGCAGGCCTCTCTCTGGGGTTAGTCCATTGCGCCTGCCATCCCTTGACTCCCCCAGTCTCATTCACCCTCCCATCTCTGCCACCATTCTCTCCTCCAAGTTTGGGCCCAGCACCATTCCTTATCTTGGGGCCCCAGACACCTGGGGAACCAATATTGCTCCCTGATCCTTTTCATCCAGATCAACTTAGTGCCTTCTCTGGGCCCCAGGACCACTGCTTCTGGGCCAGGCCCCACCCTCATCTCCCTCTGCTTCCCTGGGCCTGTACCAACTGCCAGCCTTTTTCTGGTATGCTGGGGCTGACCTTTCCTCTTCTTGATCCTTTGCATCCAGACCAACCCAGCTCCTCAATGCAGTCACCAGGACTCCTTGGGGCCTCTTCCTGCCCGGTCTCCTTTGCATCTCTTGGTGGCATGGCTGCTAGCTGCCCTGGACCGGCATTTTCCTGAACCAGGCTCACAGGCCAGTCCAGCCCCCAAATTCCTGATGCCAAAATTGTTCCTGGTGGGACCCAGACCTTAGGAGAAAACCTGAAAACAACTGACCTTCACTTGAATTGGGCCTCTGTGGGAACTCCTGAAGACAAAAGCAATCCGGCCACTCCATTATAAAATCAAGAGAGAACCAGAAGCTTAGATGAATCAGCTTTTCATGCCCAAAAAGTAAACCACAAAGACACATAAAGTTCACAAAAAGAAGCAGACCTAAACTTGAAGGCCTGAGTCTCACACAAGAATCAGAAACTACAAAAGAATTTCACATGTCAAAATCACAGAGAAAAAAATAGTAACATGAAAAACCAAAATAACATATCCCCACCAAAGACCAGTAGTACTAGAGGGGAGTACAATGAGAACCCCCTTCAGATAATGCAGGACATGGAACTCAAAAAATCAAATATAAACGAGATAAAAAAAAATGCATGTGAAAACGTCTCAATGTCAAAAGCCCTGAAATGAATTTTTCTGTATGAAACTGTGTGTTTTGACAACACAGTGGAGATCTTTTTTAAACGTTGGAACCTCATTTAATTTTATGTCTTATAGAGTTTATAATGAGTAAAAGATTATATAAGCGTAATAATTCATCTGTAAACCTAGAAATGTACAGCCAATTTTGAAAGAGATGTACCCTAGCTCAGAAAAATGTTATTGAATAGGTTAATGCTGTTGTAATGAAATGCATCTTTTAATTAAAATAAATTTTAAAAAAAAGTAAAAAAAAAAATTCAGTGAATTTAAAGAACACACACACACACATACAATTAATGAAAGAACTGAAGGAAGATAGGGATAAACTTCTGAAAGAATTCAGAAAAGTTAGAAATATTGAAGAATACTCAGGATGAAATGAAGAAGGAAGTGAAACACTCAGTAAGCCAATTAGAAATGACTGGAAAAAACCTCACCAATAGGATGAACGAAATGGAAAACAGAGTATTAAGACTGGAAGACAAACTGGATGAACTAGATC